AACGGTGTCACAAACTGTATAAACTTTCCTTATTTCTTCACGAACGGTGTCACAAACTGTATAAACTTTCCTTATTCTTCTCGGATGATGTCACAGATGGTATATAATTTTCCATGTTCTTACGGATCATGTCACAGACTGTATGTAGCTTTCCTGATTCTTCACGGATGATGTTACAGACTGCATGTAGTTTTGCTGTTATAGTTATAAGATTATAGTTCATGAAGAAATATTAAGTGGCATACTGATTTTTTTTAATTACTTATCTTTAAAGCATGAGATTATGATTTATTACTGGTTTAAGCGAGTAGATTAAATGACTAATTCTTGTGAAGCATTCGGGAAAAGCCATGAATTTGGAGAATCTGGAAAAAAGCGAAGGAAGAGAAGAGAAGGAGTTTATCTTGAGTGCAGCTTGAACCTGAAGTGTCGAAGGTTTCCAACTCGACTGGCACGGCTAGATCTTTTCAGGAACTAAGATGTGATGAATAATCAGCGTTATTAAAGGAATTTGTACAAAATTATTTTCTTCAATTCATTATATATCTTCAAGACGAAGAAAACGTTATCATTACTGGCCTTTCGTCTTCTATAGCTAGTTAGTGATGTCACCAGAAAGATGAAAACGTCACTTACTTTCAGTCTCCGTTTCAGGAGTCTGGGAATACAGAGGTTGAGTTCGTAATATTAAAACGATTTTGGAACCTCGCCACGTAGTTACAGTCCATGTCGCCATGTCCAGTTATACTCTATCCGGCAACCATGCATCTTAACAGTAGTTTTGCGACGTAGCTTCTATAGCAAAAGGCTCTGTCATAAAGATGTCATGTTCAAAACATATCCCTCTTCCCTGCTTGCTTCCCATATTCGTCTAGTACGAGAATGACAGTTTCCGAGCGCCCGTTTCAAAACTCAAATCGCACAGAAATCCTCAAATATTGCGTACAGCGATTTGACTGGTATGCTTTCGTATGGAATTGCATGAGTACCCGTTTCTCCTCCAGCTGCTTGGAGTATGCAATAGTTGAACTGATATATTGCAGAAGCAACACGAGTCGCTTTTTAAAACGAGAATACTTCCTGATTACGTTGGGCACTGTTGCCTGGGGCACGTGGACAGATTTTACCTCTGACCTTTGAGTTCATGAATTATCATGTGTTGCAGAACGCTGCACTTTCCTTACCAGGAGAGAGAGTACGACTTGTTGGAAGTCTCTTTCTGTATAGTCTAGGTCCCAAGTTAATCCACATTCCTTCGTTTTCTAATGCCATTTCGTACAATTGATGTCATATTTATGATCTGAATGCATGAAAATTTTGCATTTGAAAAAGCTTTTACACAACCTTCCTAAAAGCGATCAGCATCACACTACATATGTAACTCCACGCTAACCCATGAGATTAAATAAGAACTAGATTATATAGCGGTGCAATACCAAATTTTTACTATTCTAATCTAACACAAATAAAGTTGGTCTCTTATTTCAAATGTACTGTATCACGTACCTTTAAGTTAAGACTACTATTGATATTAAAATTAGTGCATTCTATCACGTACCTTGAAGATAAACCTATTAGGCATATTAACATCAGGTCATGTAACTTGAAGTTAAACCTATTAGACATATTAACACCATATCACGTAACTTGAAGTGAAACCTATTAGACATATTAACACCAGGTCATGTAACTTGAAGTTAAACCTATTAGACATATTAACAGCAGGTCATGTAACTTGAAGTTAAACCTATTAGACATATTAACACCAGGTCATGTAACTTGAAGTTAAACCTATTAGACATATCAACACTAGGTCATGTAACTTGAAGTTAAACCTATTAGACATATCAACAGCAGGTCATGTAACTTGAAGTTAAACCTATTACACATATTAACACCAGGTCATGTAACTTGAAGTTAAACCTATTAGACATATCAACACTAGGTCATGTAACTTGAAGTTAAACCTATTAGACATATCAACAGCAGGTTATGTAACTTGAAGTTAAACCTATTAGACATATCAACAGCAGGTCATGTAACTTGAAGTTAAACCTATTAGACATATCAACAGCAGGTCATGTAACTTGAAGTTAAACCTATTAGACATATTAACACCAGGTCATGTAACTTGAAGTTAAACCTATTAGACATATTAACACTACTGCTGCTTTGAAATACACTTTACCCAACGAATGAACAATAAACTACGTGAACTGGGATGTGTTGTTGGTGCTATAGAGGGATCGTAAAGATAAGCTGAAGTTAACGGTATTATATTTCAGGACAATGACAAACCTACCTTTACAAGACGGGCAGCACTCTCCGGGTGTAGGTGGTTGAGGATTGCGACATGGCACGTGGCAGTGCAATCTTGCTTCCGTTAGAATCCCCGACTTTAAAAGTTAAGTATTTAATAAGAAAATGATCATTTCCTGTCCAGCAAAACGATTGATCAATATCTATCGTTTAAAAATAGTTAGAAAGTATCTGTATCTTACAACGAAGAACTCGTTGTTTAGTTTAAAATAGTCCATGCACTGAAATTGATACAAAACAACAAAAAACGAGAAAATTTTACAGTCAAATAATGTAAATTATCTATAATAGTTTGAATAGAAAGGTAACTGATAACATTTTTCTTTTGTTAATATGAAATATATATTCTTATTAATTAGAAGTTATTAATTACTAAGTTTTTCTTGACAACAATACCACTGTATATTTTCTTAGAAGACAGAACCGCTATTAATTCTTACTAGACCAGTAGTTCTTAACCCTTGGGTCGCGACCCAAAACTGGGTCGCCAAAGGCCTCCAGTTACTGGTTTGGTTTGTTTTGAATTTCGCGCAAAGCTACACGAGGGCTGTCTGCGCTAGCCGTTCCTAATTTAGCAGTGAAAGATTAGAGGGAAGGAAGCTCATCTTCATCACCCACCGCCAACTCTTGGGCTACTCTTTTACCAACACGTAGTGGGATTCACCGTACCATTATAACGCCCCCACAGCTGAAAGGGTAGCATGTTTGATGAGACGGGGATTCGAACCCACAGATTGCGAGTCGAGCGCCCTAATCATCTGGCCATGCCAGGCCCTCCAGTGACCGTCTGAACTTTCCTTTGTAGTCCAACAGTGGCTGCGCCAAGTGGGTCTACTTGAAGGTATGGGTCACCGAGCTAGCCCCGCGGTCAGGATTTGGGTCGCAGTCAAAAAAAGGTTACGAACCACTGTTAATTTAGTAAGTAGAAAATAACTTTGTAATTCTTAGTAGACAACAAAGCCACTGCTAATATAGTAAATAGACAATACCAGTGTAATTTTTAGTAGACAACAATACCACTGTTAATTTAGTAAGTGGACAATACCAGTGTAATTCTTAGTAGACAACAATACCACTGTTAATTTAGTAAGTGGACAATACCAGTGTAATTCTTAGTAGACAACAATACCACTGTTAATTTAGTAAGTGGACAATACCAGTGTAGTTCTTAGTTGACAACAAAGCCATTGTTCATTTAGTTAGTATACAATACCAGTGTAATTCTTAGTAGACAACAATACCACTGTTAATTTAGTAAGTGGACAATACCAGTGTAGTTCTTAGTTGACAACAAAGCCATTGTTCATTTAGTTAGTATACAATACCAGTGTAGTTCTTAGTTGACAACAAAGCCATTGTTCATTTAGTTAGTATACAATACCAGTGTAGTTCTTAGTTGACAACAAATCCATTGTTCATTTAGTTAGTATACAATACCAGTGTAATTCTTAGTAGACAACAATACCACTGTTAATTTAGGTTAGTCGTCGGCAATGGATATGACAAATTCTACTAATTCTTGAAAATCCCAAAGAGACTAGATAAAGAATGTAGTGTATAAAAATAGTGTAGGCCTAATACTAATGTCTTACGACAAGTATAATAGTAATTATTTTTCGCCGGCTTGTAAAGGTCCACACTCCATAAATAATGTAATGTTGCTTATTTTTATTTTATATCTGTTTATATTGTTTGCAAAATATAATGTTGTTTATAACCCAGTGTTGTTTATTTTTTCAATTGCTTATTTTCTTTTTAGGTAAATCCTGTGTTGTGTTAAAAAGACTTTTCTATTACAAAAATTACCGTATTTATAGAACAAGTAAAATCAATTATTTAACGTGTTATCAAAACTATGTCGTTTTGGCAAAAAGGTAAACATGTAAGTCATATTAATAGATATTGTCTACCTGGCAAGAATACGTTTGGCAGGGGTCGTTGTTATCTATCCACTCAGTTTCACTTTCATGTAACTTCCCATTTAGGTGGCAACCTGTAAAATGAATGACAAATTTCAAATCGGATTACACGTGAACTCTTTTATTTTGATATCTATATTAGTATCAATTAGTGACGTATTTATTTTATCCTTTTTTATCGAATAGCATAAGCCTACTTGCGACGTTACACGTATATACACTGCAAATCAATTGTTTTATGTGTAATATGTAAACGTTAAAAATGATTTGCATGATTTTCCTTTGGATATCGTACAATACCTAAATACACCCACGAAAGTATGAAATATGGATCCACCGTTTCTTATGCAACGAACAAAACTGTGACCACCAATGAATTACACACATGGTGGAGAAAACAAAACTTTTGAAATGTGACTAAAATTGGGTAAAAGTGTTCATTCCAACTTAGTAATACCTTACTAAGGAAAGTATTCGCCTGCCTTTCGAAAGACGGGTTGATTACATATGACCATCAGCATGAATGCTATTTTTAATAATTTAAATAACATTTCAAATACTCTATAAAGAGGGGTCAACTGTTGTCTAGTATTGACCCACATTGATAGTAGATAGTAAAACAGTAATCGTCACAATGCACTCAATGACATATTTGATACGGTGGCTAATTTCATCAGAGTTAAACGAATTTGGTATTTTCAACCGGAATGGCATCTTATGTAAATACATGGACTAAATGTATAGTTTAAAGATTACTACTAGTCAAGCATACTCATAGTTAAATTAGAACTGCTGTACAGAAGGAGGGCAACCAGACAGAAGGACCTGCCGCCTACTCTGAATAATTTGATCCGAATAGCACAACTGGCTGTCGCAGTTATAATGCCTTCACAGCTGTATTGCAATTCGAACTTTCCAATCAGCAGCCCAGCACGCTACTCACTAAGCTACGCCCGGCCTAATTCTTGGCTCAGTATACTGGAATTATAATAAAATCATACTACAAAACCAAACAAATCAGTAAAAGTATACTACCAGAGGTATTTTGTTCATTGAATTTAACG